CATAAATCTTACTTATAACTGACAGGGGTAGGATACAGGACCAGTTCATTAATCTTTAAAGCTGGTAACATTCTCATTATATCAGAGCTTCTCACGATGGAGATGGCCTCTATCTGTATCCAAATTGCTAAGAAAACTTGTTAAAAATACAAATTCCACTGCATTGGACCAAACAGTGAATCAGTTTTGGTATGGAGGTCACAGGAAATTCACATCGAAATAACCACCCCACTGATGCTTATCCATCAGTAACATGATAATCTAGGGCACGATATAGCCCCCTTTCTCACCCTGTCATAGATGCGTCCATAAGGAGATGATTCTATACTGCTGGAATTTTTTTTCTTCACTAATTTTGATTTTTTTTATTCCTAATGATGGAGATCAAGGTTGTCTGACAGAGAGTATATGGGCATTTTACCAAGGGCTGGATGAAAAGAGAGATTGCTAGCTGATCATGCCAGTTGCAGACACTGAATTAGGAAAAGAAGTCAACATGTGGGGGAAAGACAGCTGCAAAATTCAAATGACCTTCACAAAAGAGACAAACGGCCAATAAGGAGTAATCAAATTTTGCAACGTGTGTTAAAATTTTTAAAAATATATTACATTTTAAAAAGACATATTGCCATTAATTCACTTCAAAATACTCCCCTCACTTCTAACACACTTATCTCATTATTTTTGTCACTTTCTGCAGGAGTTCTGGAGTCTTCTGTGACTGTCTATAGGTGTGATCAGAAATATAGTGACTGCTGTTGCTGAGTGCCACCCAAAAGAAACACAGGCTCATAAAACCTGATAGTGTGTCCTCACCCACCTTACTCACTGGATCTAGAGCTGCATGACTTCTGCCTGTTCACCAAAATTAAAATAACTATGAAAGGTAATGTTCTGAACTGGACACCAAGGCACCAGGACAACACAACCGAAGACACTGTCAAATGAGAACCATCTTGATTCATTTTATTCCCAGGACCTAGTACATAGTCATGTCTTCAGTGAATCGGTGCACAAGGCCTTATGATTCTGAGTTGTTCAATTCATATAACTATGCTATAGTAGAAGAATAATATCATTTTTATGTAAAACCTATGCCCAGTGTCTCATGTCCAAGCCTCAACTACTTTTAGCCACTTCTAGGAAAAAAATCTGCCTGTCTGATTGATTGAGATGAATAACTGAGAACATGTTTTGTTTTGTTTTTTTTATGGGTAATAATGTGTCTCCTGAAAATCTGGAGTCTGTTGTATGGTTTTACCAAGACAAAATTACTCTTGAATGATTCAAGTAATCTAGTCACTACTGGTAAGAATATATGCCAGCAAAAGTCAAAGTCCAGAAGGGAAAAGAAAATGTGATTACAAATAACTCTCTCCTAGTTGTTATAAGAAGGTTGAGGGGCCAGAGATATAGCTCGGAGGTGCAGAACCTGCCTGACAAATGTGAGGTCCTGAGTTAAATTCCTGGTACCCAACCCCAGAAAGAAGGTTGAGATGCCTGATTTCAAAGCTATACATGAGTGCCTTCAAAATAATTACTTAAAGCCATGGGAAAATGTACATGCAGATTACATAAAAAAAGAAACATAGTAACTACCAGTCCAATGATGGATGAACCTCCACCATTAAAGCTTTATTCACTTTTTAATTATTTTAATTTGTGTCAACAGTTTGGGTGGGTTACAAGAGAAAGTCCATGCTTTAAACCTACATAAAATATCTACCAGATTTTTATAGGATATTGTACTTCTTTAGCCAAAAAACATTGTTCTCATTTTCTTACAAATTAAATCCTTAGATATCACAAATTTCTCCGTTTTTACTATAAGAAATATTTAACTTTTCTCATGGGCAGGGCAGTATAAATATACATGAGATTTGCTGGATGTTTCATTCAGTAATTTATCGCTTGCATCCTGGCTGTGGTTAAAAGTAATGATGAAAATTAGATTGCAAATTATAAATTTCCCTTAAATATGTGTACATCTTAAGTCACAGGGTATTCCTGAATGGAATACATATGAATAATTATTCAGTCATTATTTACCTGCTAAAAAAATTTTTTTTCAATTACTTTATCATATAAAATATATCATGTTTATTAGAATAGTCTGTGGAAATAGTGACTAAAAACACTTCCCTTATCTTCAAAAATTAGGGAAAAAGTGAATTTTCCATATGTAGACAGATTCCATCTTTGGCCTTCATCTTTGATATTAACAGCAAAGTTTTTACTACATATAAAAGTTAGTCATAATATACATTTGGTATGTCTTTTAAAAAGTTTATATTATTGAAAATTTATTTTTCAGCTTGTGAAACAAGAATTAGTTGGTTCCCATAGTTTTAGGTACTTTTGCTCTCAAACTACAAAGGCACACAACTAATACTGATAAATATTTGTTTTACATCCTACCTGTGTGAGAACTTAAACTAATGATATGAACTCTACAGATCACAGGTATTTCCAACTACTTTACTTAGAAGACTTTCAGTTTTGTAGGGGCGTTTGTAGTAACTTTACTTAACTTGTTTTCTAATCAATCTGTTTTAAATTATCTTATTGTTGGCTCAGTCTTCTGGGTAGAAAAGTACTCACATTTGTGCACACAAGCACACAGCCCACACTCACACCTCCTACCTGACCAAGTAAGTGGCCAAGAGTTCAGATTCAGAGCCCTGTGCTCTGCATTCACAACGGTCTAAGAGAAAATCCAGTGGTGAGGACTCACATGAGGAAAGAAGTTTCTCAAGATAGTGGGGATCTTCCTGATGGGGCCAATCTACAATCATAAGTAGGTGAGTTGGGATTGTCATGTGGCAGAAGTAAATATCACATGCTAAGTTGACACCTTTTAGTGATCAAATGCGTGTGAGGATCTATTGCCCCCTCCCTGCCTCTCAGATTTCTCTCTGCTTGATTTCTGTTCCCTGAATTCTCTCTAATAACTTAACTTATTCCTAATGTATTTCTTTCATTTCATTGTAGTACTATTCTTGTCTTTAATGTATTGATATTTTTCATTGATTTCTTCTCAGTCTGTTACTTGTGCATTACTTCATTCATTCATTCGTGCATTCATTTTTCATTGTTATGGAGTATACATATTTTCCTTTCCAAAACAGCTGGGACACAGACAGACTATTCAGTCTCTGCTCTGAGGAAGAAAGTGTGTAGTGTCATAGATGTAAGTGAACACTGGGGCACATAGTAAATGCAAAACTTTTTTCTGAATACGTCCTTATTCTTGCTTCCTGCAAGCAAAGTTTCATATTTTTTTTTATAGCCTAAATGTTAACCTCATACCTAACTTACATAAGAAACTAAAATATGCTAAATTCTTTAGTATTCCATATTCTCTTCTAGCTAAACTAATTTATCACAAATGATCTGAGTTCTTAGTAAGGCCATATGTCAGCTATCTTTATTAACTGTTCATGTTATCTGAGCCACTTTAATCCATATAACAATAATGACAGAAAAATAAGCTAGCTGATGGATACTTTTCTATGAAATATATAATATCATTCTGTATTTTCCAATAAAATCATGTTTATTATCTTTATTTATGGGCATACTTTCACGTTTCATTCCTATATCACATTGAGTGTTTTTTAAAATTTCAGGTCGATTCTCAGAAACTGGTGTAAAAGCCCATTATGTGAGTATTTGGCCACTTGCCCCATGGCTTCATAGTAGTGTACTTGGTAGGTAAAAATGGCAAAGAGAGTAGCTTACTGTATTTGGTGGTTGCATTTTTTTTATTTGTTTTTTCTCTTTAATAATCAGTGTGTCAGTCAGTTTTCTATTACTATAAAAATTACCTGAGATAATGCACTTATAAAGAGAAAAGGTTTATTTTCATTCAGAGTTTTGGTGGTTTCAGTCCATCCTTCGTTGACCATGTTGTTTTTAGGCCTCTGTGGTGAGGCAGAACATCATGGTGGAAGTAGGTGTCAAAACTGTATACCTTATGGCAGAGACCCAAAATGAGAGAAAGAGAAAGAGGCTGGGGTCCCAATATTCCCTCAAGAGCACATTCCCCATGAGGAAGGCCTCCATCTAGGTACCGCCTTTTAAAAGTTCCACCACCTTTCAATATCACCATAGTCTGATGACCAAATTTATAGTTAACATATGGGCCTTTTTGAGACCCTTATTCAAATCATTGCAATAGGAAATGGATATCAGCTATCAACTCATTTTGACTGAAAAATGGCATACTGGATAACACGATTGGAACAATATACCAGAAATGCTTTTAGTACCTACCATGTCTGGGACTTCTGTTTGGACATGACAGTGACCTTATAAAAGGTATATATTGCATATGCCTTATTTTTAATGCAGACTCCACTGTGTATACACTCAGGAAAAGAAAAATTCATATAAATACTTTTTACTACATTTATTGAGACATCATATATTAATGCATGTTACCTTTGGCCTCTACAATGACAAGAGATGCTCCAAGTGGTGGCCATTAGCTTCCCGACATTCATTAGTATGGTTGCTTGGGTAACCTTGGTCATTGAAATTGCTGCACATGCATTTTCAATTTCTTCTCTAAGTGGTGGCAGTGTAGTAAGTTTTCTGTGACATATGCCATCTTCTAGGATCCAACATACAATATCACACTATTTTTCTTTTCCTGAAGTGACTACACATTTTTGGTGTACTCTGTATTATTCGGAACATAAGTTTAAGTATTTCTGAGATATTAATAAAATATTTCACAGCTCCATCATGAATTTCTTTTTCTGAAGTCTTTCATAACTTGAAAACCTCTGAGAGACTGTGATTATTTTGTTTATGATCAAGAAAGCCCCAAATATTTTATATTGAAAAACTGTTCCTTTAGTTTTTTTTTCCTCCCATATTTCATTACAGGCCTGATTCTCTGAACATTCTTTTGAGTCTCAGGTTTTATACATGGACTTCTGCTTTTATCTCTAGTGCACCATTTCCTGGAAATATGTTAACCTGAATCTTCTTACCTGTATGTGCATTGGATGTTCTAATCAAACTTCTAAAGAGGAGATGATTCCAGGAGAGGGCCTAGGAGGAAAAGTATTTCATGTTTATTGAGTTGATCTCTGAATCAGACACTGTATCTATGTAAGGTTCTTTAATTTAGTATGAGAAACAGGATGAGTCCATTGCCTTGATTAGGGTTGGGCAGGCTTGGATTATCAAAGGCATAGGCTAGATTAACAGAAAAGACTTCACCACATCCAATGGTCATGGCAAATTTGGAGCTAAGAGTGATCAACCCTGTGTAAAGTTGAGAGACACTGCATGTGGACTAGAGTTGTGTGTATGTATATGTATAGATCTACAGTTTACTAAACTCCACATTTCTAGGTTTTTATTTATATCCCTAAGGCCTGGCCAGTTCTAACTTTAAATACTTATTAATCTAAGAAATAGCAGCAACTGTATATTGAAAGAGAAGGAGAAGGTTCTCTCTCCACAGGGAAGCCAGACACAGACAATACCAAATTGCAAAGATAACTCTGACTCCAAATCTAAACCAGAACCTTCTATATTGTTAATACTGCTACTTTCTGCTCAGAAAATCTGCAGAGCCATGATACTAGTTTGCAGGGCTACAGCTCCTGCAAGAAACCATTCATGGACTTCAAGAGAAAACAAAGCCCTTTGCCTTTTTCTTGTCATTTTCCTTCACAATTAACTTTGCTTGGGAGACTGGAATTTGCTGCTCATGGAAGAAACCAAATATATGGACAAGACTTGGTGCATTGCTGTTTCTGCCCATTGCTACCATGGCTGGCCTGGAAGTCGTAGTGCTTGTACCTGTCAATTAATTTCTCACTGATATTGTTGACCCGAACTGAGGTTAGAGACTGTAGTTATCATAGGATCAGAGGAAACCTGAACTCTTTACCCAGCTCTAAAAATTGAGACATTAAAGCTTATTTTGGAATTATATTTATGGTTAAAACTTAAAACAGTGATACAGATTGTGAATTGTGAGGTGTAATAAATAGCCAAAGTGGCAGCTCTTGGCTAAGATGTTCTGTGCTTGAGAGAACCAGGCTATAGTTATTAACTATATTTTTAACTTATCTTCTTATTTTAGAACTCTGAACTATGCTGTTTCTTGCACTTATGAAAAATACGTTTTTCATACTCAAGAAAGATCATTTTCTTTATGTCACCTGCTAACTAAACACCAAATTGTGGAAATGTTTGCTAATGTGCGTATGTGTGCATTTATATGCTTGTCATGACAAGACTCTGTAAATGGTATCCTGGTTTTAAAGATTCTCTATATTGTGATCATTTCCATGTCCAGCTTTGCTAGTCATTTTCCCCTTGATACAAATAGTTAATTAAATTTAAAATTTGCTTATAGATGGGCACAAAAGAGAAAAAAGAAATGAAGGAAAAAATGGAAATAAGACCTTTTGCAAATAGGAAGGGAAAGAGTTGGCATAGGCAGCAGATGAAAAAAAAATTAAGATGTGTTATAGACATGTACCAACTCCCTATGATAAATGTAGTCATTATATACAGCAAACACGTACCAATAAAATAAAAAATAAAAAAGAGTTTTAAAAACTTTATTTGGATAACCAAGACAACTGAAACTAAAGTTCACTTTAGTGCATAATAACATTCTCAACTATGTAGTTCACTCCACTAATTATATAGAAATTTGAAAAAGAGATACTTTTGTTAATATAATCTAGGAAATCTTTGTAATTGTGATTATTTGGACATACAGCCTAAAGAGAAAAATATAAAAGCAGACATGTCTAGGACAATAATCAGCAATGATGTACTATTATCATCTATATATTGATTTATTGTAGAAAATCTAACAACCAATGAATATTGTCACTTGCCTTGACCTACATGACTATACAACTTCTCAACTTATTTTTGCTCTTCACAGAATTTTTCTGACTTGTGATTTTCTTGACAACAAGTAGCTGTTTTTAGTTTCACAATTATAGCCAATAATACTATAAGATACAAATTATAAACAATGTAAAAAACTTCAAGTAGCAGTGAGCAACTAGCTGGAAAGTAAATGCAAAATTTTGATGATAGAAAAAACAATTCAGTTAGTTGTGCTTTTAAATTTTCTTGGACCACAGGCAATGTTATACTAACATTTACTGTATTTCTGAAAAAACTTTTTTGAAAGAGGGTCTTGCTATGTAGTACAGGTTGGTATTGAACTTACTATATAGCCCAGTGAGGCCTTGGACTCACAGTGAACCTCATGCCTCAGCCTCCCAAGTGCTGTATTACAAGGGTGCACCACCAAGCCTGGCTTAATAAAACTTATTTTAGTGGGCATCAGTATGATTTTAAATACTTAAATTTTATTTATCTGTATGTTATTTCAAAAGGCTGGCAGATTTCTAACAGCAAGTCAGTTGTAGTAGATTTATGTATAGCACTACTTCATGATTTAGAACTAGAAGAAAAATGTTATAATGAATTTGCTCTTAAAATAGAATGATGAAAAAAGGAAATAGTATGTTTAATAAATGAAGAAACATTTCTAACCTTAAAATCAAGATCTAGGAAGACAGAAAAGGACAGAATTAACAAGATCAATCATAAAGAATTGCAAAAGAAACAATGAAATATAAACCCTTCACTGTAAGATATTCAAGAACAATTAGACTGTCAGTTGCTTTTCCAAGTCATCTCCCAAAATCTCAGTCAAACTGGTAGGCCCAAAGCAGAAGACTGGAGAAAACTTTGGGACACAAGAACACTGTCACAAAAATAACCCACAGATCTTGACATCTGGGACCCAGCTTGTCAGTCACCAAGCATAGTGACATCACACAGATTTTCTAGCATTTTAGTGATTTCACTTATAAAATCAATGTGTAGCTGGAAGATACCAAACATTTGAAGAAGGTTTCCAACTTGAACAAAACAAATATAAAAATAAAAGAATAAAAGCAAAAGAAGAACTCAGAGGACATATGTGGAGCCCACTGTGTGGAATGAAATAAGCTTAACTCAGAAAGACAAATTCACATGTTCTTTTTAATTTGTGAAATCTAAAAATATGACAAGAAAGTACATGGGAAAATATTACTAGATGAGAACAAAAGAATAACAGGGATGGAGAGGGGTGTAAGGGTGGACAGTGAAGGAATGAGTATGAGCAAAATATATTATACACATTGGAAACTCCCAAAATATGACCCTAGGGAGGAGAGTAGGACAAAGGGGGGTGATGGAATGATTCATTCAAATGATCAAAGCATATTAAGTGCATATATGAATCTGCCAAAATGAAACCCATTAATCCATATAATCAATAAAAAATTAGTGAAAAAAGAAAATTGCCCTATATATTGAACAAAAATAAGAAAATCATAGAAGAACTATAATTAGGGGCTGGGGATTTAGCTCAGTGGCACAGTGGCTTCCTGGCAAGCACAAGGTCATGAGTTCGATTCTTAGTACTGGAAGAAAACAAAAGAAAACAAAAAAACAAAAACAACAAAAAAAACAAGAACTATAATTAAAACAGTAGCATACAAGAGGCATGGTAGTTGGCCCTTGAAGGATATTTTATAGTTGACATTATTTAGAATTACTTGTACATGGCAATGATAAAAGCAGATTGCTAGAGTTTTAGTGTTATTTTTAAATACTCTACAATAACTCCTTATTTCCTATATCCCACAGCAATCACACCTACCACCTAGCCCCTGATATGCTGCAAAGTTAATAACTTCCCTGTGATGAATGAAATATGTGCATTCAGTTCAGGTGGAGCAGCTGCATGGAGTCTCCTGATAGGGTTTTTCTGACAAGATCTGGTCAATTGACACGGAAAACAGCTTCAAAACTTGTTGAACATATAAAATGGCTTTGTGCTACTTCAAATGGAAACCTAGAAACTTAAAATGTTCACAACTGTTTAATACAACAACAAATATAAACACATAAAGGTAAATCATGGTACAGTACTTGTGTAAGTAGAGAATGATAACTATATAATCATAATATTTGCAATAAAATATTGGTAAGAACATAAAATATCATTTCCTATAATACAAAGTCCATAAATACTATCAAAAATTAATAGATAAAAAGTAACAATAATTTTTTATGTAAGTACGGAGGTGAGAGTAAATATCCCAAAAACGTACAATATCCCTGGGAAACCACGGGAGACTGGTTCCAGGATCCCTTGCAAATACCAAAATCTGTGGATGCTGAAGTCCCTCATAGTAAAAGGAGTAGTATTTTCCTATGACCTATGCACATCCTCCCACATACTTTAATCATCTCTAAAACTGCCTATAACACTGGATACAATGTAAATGCTATGTACATAGTTGTTGTTCTGCATTGTTCAGAGAATAATCAAAGGAAGAAAGGCAGAACATGTTCAGTCCAGATGCCATTTTTTTTTCCTGAATGTTTTCCACCCTGGTTGTTTGCATCCACAGATGCAGAACACACAGACGCTGAGAGCCAACTATAGGTGGATCTAGTGATTGGAAGGATTAGAGCTCAGGGAGCGTATGAGCCCTTCTGCTCACTGTGACCCTTAAGCAAAATGTAGGTACTACTTTGATTAAACTAAAAAAATGAAGATTATGTGGATTTAATCAGAAGAAAGTGATTAAAAACGGCATAAATAATTTCTCATACTTCCATAGGCTGTCATATAATGTAGAAGTCAAATATGAGATCTGCCACATTTATTTCACTCTATACGACTGTATTTTATTGCCTTTAAAAATCTTTCATAATTCAAATATAGCATTTATTATTAGAATGAGGGCTAATGCAGCTATTCTTAGATATAGCATTTTTTACATTGAGAAGACATTTATTTTTAACAATTTCAAAATTAATGCTTAATTTTATATGTTTAATTTAAATTTAATATTTTATAAGCTTCACTTTTAGAAAAGTAAATCATTTGGAGATACTTTTAACTTTAATAAGTATGCATTTTAAAAATCAAATGTTTGTATAAGGTTTTGTCAGAGATTAAGTGATCTTCCTAGATGTAATTTCAAATTTGATCAAGTTAAATT